ATATCACATGCAAAAAAGATTCTTCTGAAGATTATCCAAAAATGACTGGAACATCACATCAATAGAGAACTGCCTGAAGTGCAGGCTGGATTTAGAAGAGGCCATGGTACTAGGGATATTATAGTTAATGTTAGATGGATCTACCAGAAGAATGTCCATCTGTGCTTCGTTGACTATGCAAAGGCTTTTGACTGTGTGGGTCACAACAAGCTATGGCTGACTCTGAGAAGAATGGGAATCCCAGAACATTTGATTGTGCTAATGCGAAACCTATACTTGGACCAAGAGGCAGTCGTCAGAACAGAGCAAGGAGATACTACATGGTTCAAAATCAAGAAGGGGTTCCGTCAGGGATATATTTTGTCTCCATACCTTTTCAATTTGTCTGCAGAACAGATCATCTGAGATGCTGGGCTGTATGAGGAGAAATGTGGCATCAGGATTGGTGGAAGAACCATCAGCAACCTGCCTTATATGGATGACACAATCTTGCTTACTGAAACTGAAGAGGGCCTGAAGCGCTTGCTGCAGAAGGTCAAGGACTGCAGTCTTCAATGTGGATTGAAGCTCAACATCAAGAAAACAAAGATTCTCACCAATTGGCAGCATCATTGTGGATGGTGAACAGAATGAGACAGTTAACCGTTTTAGTTTACTTGGTTCCACAGTCAACACTCTTGGTAAAAGCAGTCAGGAAATTAGGAGACAAACTGCATTGGGAAAGTAAGCTGTGAGGGACCTCTCAAGAGTATTGTAGAACGATGACATTAGGCTGGAGACTAAGGTGCGCCTGATCCACGCTATAGTCTTCGCAATTACGTGCTATGCATCAGAGAGTTGGACAGTAAATAGGGATGACAGAAAGAGAATTGATGCCTTTGCGCTGTGGTGCTGTAGAAAGGTGTTGAATATACTGCTAGGAGAGCAAACAGGTTTGTCCTAGAGAGGGTGAAGCTGGAGTGTTCCTTGGAGTCAAGGATTCTGAAGCTAGACAGGTTACTGTAACATTTTGTAACTAAAGTCTAGTCTGATCCTTTCAGAATCAGGGACCAGAATCCTATATTGAGAACCCAGTCTGCCATCTCTGAGATTCTAGCTTAGTGAGGCAGGAACAAGGCAAGAAGAAAACAAAAATGCAACAAAGCTTTTGTCTTGGCTTGTTTTTAATTTGACTTAACATTTATTTGATGATAGTAAAATTTTGACTGTTCTCCAGAACATTGAAAAAGCTAGTTCCATAAATTTCTGGTAATTTTTCTGCTGTTTCTGTGGAGCAAAAGGAATTTGGAGCTGTCTGCTTTCCTGACTTTGTGATGCCACAGACATTCTCAGAGGCCTTTGTGCACTCCAGTAGCCTAGTCTACAGCAAGGTACACTATTAATCCAAAGCCCACACCTCTTTGATGGGTAGAATTCATAATTGCTCCACAGCAGGAAGATGGGCAGTCTCCTCTTAGGTGATTCACAGCCTCCAACAAACTCATTAAGGGTCAGCTTTGAGTTAGTTCCAACTTGACAGCATTACAGTGAGTTGAAAACAAAATCAGAAAGGTTTGTGTATGTGTGTGTGTGAAAGAGGAATAATATTTCTCTGAATGTAAGATTAAGCAATCAAATTTATGTATAGGCAGACAATGGGTTATAACAAACTCATAGTTACAAAACAACCTCCATGATGTCTATTAAGTTAAAAATTCAAAGAAAATATAGTGACTCATAATGATAAGCAAATGTTATTTTGTGAAAAGCATCAAAACATTATTATTACTGTATTATTATTATTTTAAAGTTGTTTTAGTGTATTAGGAACAATTTCTTTATTGTTTTTATTGTGTACAGAAAGGTACAGTATATGCTTAGACTATTTTTACTTATATACAAATTCAACTTAAAAATAGATTCAGAAATATAATTCATTCATAATCTGAGTACTGCCTGCTATACAGATTTACATTACAGATCCTAATTGTGCCTCATTCTGGCTAGTATATTATTGTTATATACATGTATATTCGTATAACTTCTTAAAAAGCTGCACAGAACTGAAAACATTTAATAGTGTTTACCCAGTCAGCATTTTTCAATTCATCCAGGTCTGTGTTAGGTTCAGTCTTTTCCATTTCTTGAATCTTCTTTAGATTCTATCAGTTAAAATAAAGAAAAAATAGTTAGACATTTTATTAAGATACCTTCTCAAATTTCTTAGCAGATCTCTTCAGGTAAAATAAAAAGTGCAAGTAAAGAAGATAGAACAGAGATTACTCTTCTATAAATTTTAAAGTCAATAATAAACTATGAAGTTCTCTAGAATAGATTGAAAGTCCTAATCCTGCTTGCCTTATAGATTGTATAGGTTGAACCTTCAGTTTCAAAACCAATTTATGATTTCTTTCATGGTTTATCAATTCATTAATTCGTTAAGTAAAATCTTCACAAGTGGGCCAATAAGTTATCATGCTAGATGCAAAATAAATAATTAAGTTGTCAAAGTTTTGATTTTGTTTGGACCAATAGTCAATACCAATGAGAGCAACTTTTAAGAAATGAAGATGCTGCTGAAGCCTGGTGTACGCTGGGGAACTGCTGGCTGATGCTAAGTGCACACTGGGGAGCTGCTTTCTGATGCCACACACATTCACTAGAGAACTGCTGACACATGCACCAGGGAGTGTGACATGCAAGGGTAAGCAGGAAATCTGGAATAATAATGACTGTAGACAGGAACTCCAGTTCCAATACTGCCAGTCTGCACCCAGAACACTGCTCCCAACAGACACCAGGAGCAACTCAGGAACTTGAGTGAGGTACTTTGCGGGGGGGGGGAAGGGGTGTCAGGGATGTTTGGCCAGATCACGTTGGACCCTTTAAGCTCAATCAGAAGGTAGTGAGACAGCTGGAGCTCGTTCTTAAAGGGAAAACTTGGTTTTCTAATCAGTTCTCTGTGCACTGTGTTGTGTTTCCTCACATCCAATCAATCAACTGCCTTTAGGCCAGAGCACTTGGGCTACTCTAGATGAGGAAATTGTGTGACAGAGGAGGCTGCTTGCACAGGCCTTTTCTCTATTAAACGGAGAGAAATCCAGACAGGGTAGCTGTCCTATCCTCTTCTGGAGTGGTGACTTCAGATAAAAAACCTGCTAACACCTCAGACATGAAAAACTCTACCACAGCAATGTCATGTAGAAAGCAGGCCACCATATCCACTACACAAGCCCTAAGCAAGATGCCACCCCCCTAAAAAAGACATGGTATCAATGGATTAAGAAAAGAGCAAAAGTCAGATAAAATAGTATGACACAAAATTTAAAAGAACAATAATTGAGTATATTCAATAGATGAAAGAGAAACTTGAAGAATTACAGAACACTGAAGCAAAAACCAGAAGGAGCTTAAAAAAAATCCAAATTAATGCACATAAAATAAACAATGCTTTAGAGACTCTGTAAAAACAAGGAACAACAATCTAAAATATGAGGAGCAATGTTTCAGATGCTGTCAAGACGAGGAAGGCTCACATGAACAGGGCTGAAGCAATAGAACAAAGAACCATTGAGAGAGAAGATAGAATTGTCACCACTGACCTGCTATAGCAAAAAGCAAAATCAATAAGGAAGTAAAAAGACTAAAACCTAAGAATAATGTGGGACACCATCAAGAGAAATAACATGCACATCATCAGAATCCCAGAACAGGAAGAAGCAAATAAAAGCACTGAAAAAGTTCTTGAAGAATTACTAGAAGAAAATTTCCCAGGTATAATGAAAAATGAGAGAATCTATATTCAAGAAGCTGAGAGAACACCATATAGAATAGACACCAAAAGAAAAACCCCTGGCATATAATAGTCAAATTTGCCAGAAGCAAAGATAAAGAGAGAATTTTGAAAGCAGCAAGGGAGAAATAAAGAGTAACCTAGGAGGGAAAGCAAATAAGATTAAGTGCCAATTTCTCAGTAGAAATCATGTGAGCAAGAAAACAAAAAAATGACATATATCAAACACTCAAAGAACACAACTGTCAACCAAGAATATTATACCCAGCAAAATTGTCCATCAAATATGAAGAAGAGATCAAGATATTCCCAGAAAAACAGAACATAAGGGAATTTGTAAAAACAAGACAAGTATTGCTGGAAACACCGAGGGATATCCTTCTTACAGACGTGCCACAGAAAGCAGGATAGGCCAAAGTAACTAGCAACACCACCAAAAAGAACTCAACAAAATTACAGCAATGAAATCTTGCCTCTCAATAATCACACTGAATGTAAATGCTTTAAATGTATCACTGAAAAGAAAAACAGTAGCAGATTGGATAAAAACACAAAACCAACCAATATGCTGTCTAAAAGAGACTCACCTCAAAAATGAAGACAAAGAAAGGATATGGGTGGAAAATAACCAAGCAAATGGCAACTAGGAAAAAGCAGGAGTAGAAATATTAATCTCTGACAACATAAATTTCAATGCAAAAAAATTATCACAAAGGACAAGGAAGGTCACTATATAATGCTTAAAGTGTCAATAGAACATGAAGACATAACAATAATAAATATCTATGCACCAGATGAAAGATATGTGAAATTATAAAATAAATATTAATAAAACTAAAAAAAGAAATAGACAACAATACAACACTCTCAAGAAAAGATAGAATTACGAGAAAGAAACTCAAGAGAGATGCTGAAGAATTAAACAACACAATAAACCAACTTGACCTCATAGATATTTCTAGGCTAATGTACCTCCAAAAAACTCAGTATACCTTCTTTTCTAATGTGCATGGAACATTCTTCAAAATAGATCACATTTTAAGCATCAGTAAATTAAAAAACATAGAAATAAAACAAAGCATCTTCTCAAACAAAAAATGCTACAAAATTAGAAATTAATAATAAGAGGATAAAGGAGAAAATAATCATACATTTGGAAGCTGAATAACACCTTGCTTGAACACGAGTAGGTATTGTTGTTGTTGTTATGTGCCGTCGCGTAGTTTCCGAATCATAGCGAGCCTATGTACAACAGCCTTAAACCGTGCTCTATCCTGTGCCAATCTCATTGCCTCTGACACACCCATCCCGATTACCCCAGTCAATCAATCAATCCACCTCATAGAGGGTCTTCCCCTCATGCACTGTCCCTCTCCTCTACCCAGCTTGATGTCCCTCTGTAAATACCTGTCTCTCCTTACAACACGTCCAAAGTATGTCAGGCAAAGCCCCAGAATCCTTGCCTCCAAGGAGCAGCCTGGTTTAATCCTCTCTACGATGAATCTGTTTGTTTTCTTGGCAGTCCATGGTACATTCAAT